TCTCGCACTAAATGAAATCCACTGATAGCACTCAAATCCCAATGCGCTCACGGAACCGACCGAGTCTCGCTCGGTTTTCTACGCACCGTACCATACAAAGTGTCCACGCACTTCTTTCGCCGCCTGTTGGAATGTATACGAACGCAAATGACATGAACGCTATATTGTCCTCGTGGCTATCGACATCGTTTCGCTGGGCGGCCGTCATCGGCAGACCCGTAGGAGAGACCAGCAGGACTCGACATAACGAAAAAACGAAACGTTGAGTCTACGAAACCCGATCTCTTCGATCTACTTCTCATTCTCGTACTGATGCCAGTGGCTGGTTATCCCATGGCTAGGCCAGTTTTGTACCAACCACACCCGTTTATGCTGCAACCGCTCCCCTATCAATTGCTGACAACGAGACCCGTAACGTGGGGGGCAGGGATAGCGGCGGAGGTGATTGCATCCCCAAACCTGCAGCATTTAGCTCGATGGAGAACGAAAGGCGGACGGAGAGAAAAAGAGAGGGGGCGTATTTGCACTTGTCTATCTAATAGCTTTGAACGACAGCCATCACTAGCAGCAGTTTTTAGGCAATCGATCATTGAGCTCATGTGATAAAATAAAAACTTTTATTAGCAAGGGGTGGTGGTCGTAGGAAAATGGAGTTGGAAAATATTTAACAGAAGATTATTATTATACAAACAAATATACTATGCAATTAAGTAATGAAATAATAGAACTCAGTCAACAGAATAAGCATTTCTAGCATTGCGGTTAGTTGTAGTATTAAAATCGAGTAGTTGTAGCAACTAGATGCCCATGAACATTTTGGGCACATCATCGCGAGTTTGGCTAGAGAATGCGTTAACTATACAATACAGTTATATACATAACTATATAGCTATATATATATATATAGCTGCGGTATGGCAGCTAGGTGCATTGGAAATGCTTTTAGCCTGGCGACAGACTGAAAATAGTTCATTGACACTTCAGTGTCCTTTCGCCTTGCGTATAATTCATCAATATGACGCTTGCAAATTTATTATTTCGTATTGGTATCGAATGGCTGTTGTTGCTCCGTTTTTCAGCAGTCAAAATTCCAGGGGCCTACCTTTATCTATAAACAGTGAGGCTCATTGTTTTTTTACTTACACAGACGTTACTCAACACTGTCTTCCGTATAATGTTTTTACCAAACAAACCGAGTTCGGACCTGTTCCGAATCCGAATTCGAACTCGCTGACGCTGGTCTGTTATGTTAAGTCTGTTATTTCATTACATCTTTCTTTTTTTTTCTTGCTGCTGTTCCAGTTGGAGCAGTTTCGTCGTCCATAATAAACCGATTGTATTGCTCAAGGCATCTGGTGGCTTCGCCACGTTGGCGTTACGCTGTCTTACCAATTCGATTACCGTTTTGGAACTTCCATTACCTTACTTTTATCTCTAAGTTACTTTAGTTCTACTACAAAGAGTGCACTAATGCGTTTTAATCATTTTGCAGCAAATACCCCATAGCTCTGTCTCGATTATGCCACACTTCCATCACCAGCGCATGCTTCTGTTGTTGACCCATTACTTCTCTATGTGTCTCCCTCAATATACTTTGTTTTTTCCACTAAAGATTTTGTACTAAAAACACTGTTTTCATATTAAGCCAAGCCTACATACCAAAAACGATCAGAGCCGCCTCAGAGATAGCCTATATATATAATAACTTAAGGGTATCGTTACGTAAACCCGAAAGGCACACGCGATTCATTTTCATAATAATTGTCACTTTGTTGCGTGTTTGATATTTCTGAAGAAGCACTCCGCTGGTCACCCTCGCGATGATCTCAAATTCGATTTAAAGCAGTATCTTCGCCACTGGAACATTACCTGGACAAAAGGCAATTTGAATAACAAGTAGATGATATAATCAATGAGCAAGCGTATGAACAAGGTCAATCACTTTTTAACCGCATCAATGGCCTGTCAGTATCCATACTTTAGTAGATCTATCCTCTGGTCCAGTACAAAGTTCATCACAGACTTCGATAAATATATTAGGAATATTTTCGCATGCGATGAGCTCGTCTAACGTTACCAGCAATATATATATGTATATATCGTATCAGAGAAAATCGCGTATGTGAGGTATCGGGTGATGTGGGGTTGGCTTCTTTAGGTAGGATGAATGAAATGCGATCGTACTAGAAAAATGTATCTTAAAAAAAAAACGGTCGCGCGAAATCCCAATACGTTGTCCTGTAGAATGAGCCGGCCAATCAGCTAACCGCACAGCCTTAAGATGGCAATACTACATACATGTGTATGAGGTGTTGTGTTACTTGAACATGAAATTGAGAAGGCGGAAATTGAACGAACATAACAACACACGATCGGGTAAAAATAGGAGAAAAGAACAGTAATATATATACGTTCAACGACCATGACGCTCAAGTTTGCGAGCTTGATACCCACGGTATCTAAATCAATACGGGAATCTAGATCGATCCGTATCGAATCAACAGACGTTTTGCTACAGTGTATAGGACTGCGCGAATTTTTACTTAGAAATTCAACGTATGAGAATGTGTAGTCGGATGCTCATATAGCTCCTGCAAACACTAAATAAAACAGTCAGAAATCGGCTAACTTACTAGCCTACAAGCTTAAACGGAGCTGAACGGTGCCCTATTAAGCGGAAATGAGTCTCGCCGATCCACTGCCATCGGGAACTGTAGAGCTGGATATTGCCAAGGAATATCTTCGAGAAAAACTTAGCCTGCCACCTACACATACTTATATTAATTTTTAGGATGGCTCATGTCCGAGCGTCATTTAAAAACGAGCTCAAAATCAAACCAGCTATCAACTTTTTAAAAAAACATTTCGCACCAGAGCATAGAAACGTTATCGCGGCGGATACAAGGTCTCAGTGTGCGATAGTCTTTAAAACGAATGGTGAAGAAATGATCCTACCAACCCTATGATGAAGCGATTTACATAGAAGTGCAAAAAAAAAAGTATCTAGATCAGCTAGAAATCATTTCCGCCTTGAATTTCCGCTTAAGCCGCAGAGGGAACGAACGTGCTAGCTGATTCGACAGCGCGTACGTTCTCCGCTAGTTATGCTTATATATATATATTTGGACTCGTCCTCATAGATAGCTATATAATCAATATTGTTAAACTGGCAATGTATGGCTGAAACATATATTCGCTCAGGTTGTAATTACGCCATAAACAGTGGTTTCGTATGCATAAATCGCCATGGCTCTAAATCTAATGTAACAAGTGTCCCGTGTAACGTAGGGTGCCAGCAACTTCATCCTTCCGCAAAAATGAGTGTAAGGAATCAGATATTGATCGTCGGGTGTCCTATTTATAGAGAACAAAACGCCAATAAGAGACCAACGCTAAGATACAAGGCCAATTCGGCATAGTTTGTTTTAGCCACCCAGGGCACACCGAACACAGGCCAGCTCGTTGGTCAAGAGTCAGTCTAAATAATAGATTGGGTAGTCAGAAAACAGACCGCTTCTTTTCTTCAAATAAGCTACTTAGGCCAATACGCATCTATATATTGACGCGTTCAGTGATAACAATCAATTCACGTGGTGTCTTGATAAACCCGAGTTCACAAGAACTCGTAGTCCTCGCACACGCAGCAGTGCGTTTTTTTATGATCAGGCTGGGCGATTATTATTAGTATTACAATGATGTTTTTTTCATGAGTGACCTGCTGCTTCATTGGCTTTGCTTGGTAGGCGGCGGTTGTAGCGGTGGCTTTGGCAACTTACGGTAGCTTATCGTCTAACGTTCTCCGATAGCAGCGGCAACCGTAAACGGGCCATTCCGATTAATCAAACAGATAGGTAGGTACCGTTTTTCTTCTAATGCAGGACACAGGGTAACGCAGACGGATAGCCCCCCTCGGACGATCGACGAAGGGGCATGCATTTTTATCGCTTCGGAGACACATGCGGACCTAAGTACTTTAATACAATCAACATTCCTGGGACCAGAGATGCGCAATGGTATGAAACTTCTAGTCTCACATAGAAGAATACTGTATGAATATAAACGAGACTAACTGTCATCTAATGCATTCGGAAGAAAATACACGACAGAACGTAAAATTCATGCGATGTTTTTTACGTATACGTAATTAACGACACTACGTCGTAGAAAACGCAAGAGAAAAGAACGCTCTTTTTTTCAGGTCGCATTTTTGAATATATTACATCGATTTTTCGATAAACATTATAGAACTGGTGATATCTCGAGGTTTCGTATGAAATCGGTAGCATCAACGCTCAACGCTACGTACACAAAGCAAATCTTATAATATTGACCTTTGGGCCAGTCGAGGTGAATCAGTCCACGCCGCTCAACACGCCTAGTCAACAACGATCGAATTGACAAAATACATAATAATGTCGTTAAATTATTTCATGTTTAACTTTAGAAAGAAGACAATGCGCAAGTTAAGAGCTAAGTTCGAATTGTTTATGTTTTATTAGTATGCTATATAGTCATTGTTTCTTTCGGGCTGAATAAATTAGATAGTTATTAACTTTTCTCAAGTCTAGCGCACCCAATAGTTTCGCTTCCTTCACGGGCCACGGCGATGGGGTATACTACCTGTTTAGCCTCGGATACTCACTGAGAAAGGAGATATTTCAGTTCCGTGGAAGTTGTCTGAATGAACTTTCCACCTATGTATATTATTGATAATGGCGCGTCCTATCCTACCAGTTATTGCATACTTAGACGAACATACGTACGGGCATATTGCGCAATGTTTATTTAGCAGGTTCATTGTGTCACTTTCTTAGGTTAAACTGAATAAATATATCTACTTGCTAAACGTAACTTGTTCGATGTTAGGAGATCAATTTCATTTTTTCATCAATATGATAGTGTGTTATTGCCTATTCTTGCACCAGCAATTGTAACTATTTCCGAAACACTATCCACTGCCAAACTGGCGGCATTCAACATCGAATTCCGATTTCCTTTACCTGCATAGAAGTGTGAAAAGGTGGCCGTAAGAGCGACGAGGAAAAATCCAAGTCGTTGACGTCGCAGATCCATCGTTGTGTGAATGAACGAAAGTGTATTTATGGACGAACACTCTATGGGGGGGGGGGGGGGGGTAATAGATGTAAATGTCTCTTTATCGTTCCTCTGTGACTCTGCTTTTCGTCTCCTGGTAGCTTTTTGTTTTTTCTCACGCAAAAATGGCTCCCAATTTTTTGTAACTTCACACAAAGAGACAGTGCTAAAAACAGTTAAGGCTGGTAGAACAGAGATAATACCATAAGCACGCCGTCATTATCCGCACCAGCACTTCATATTTTTTACAAATTTTCGTTGATTTGCATTTCTACGTTACTGATGTTGTTTGTGTTGACGGGGCTCGCCTCTAAATGTTGCCCGCACTCCTGCCCCGCTTAGAAAACACGTACGCCATAAAAAACGAGACAGATCAGAGAACGCGGGTTTTAATTTGTGCACGTGCCGCGAAGGACACGCTGGTCGTCCTACGTGACTTTAGCTGAGCGTGGTTTCACACATGATACTTTTTACTTCGTTGTCGTCCTTCTTTCTTTCCCTGTGATTTACGCAGTGATTAGTGTACAGTGAACTGAAGGCAAATTAAATCGAGTAAAATAATTGTGTGATCTGGATTAAGTGGCTGGCTTGGACAAGCCAATAAAGCAGCTCGCAAATTTTCGTTTACGATACGAATGAATACGAAAAGTCGCTCGATGATGAAAGTCGCAGTTGGCAGAACTTCAAAAATAGAACAACACCGAACTCCGGGGAGGGAGCTCAGTTTATGGAAGAATGCCAAGTATCAGCCGAAGTACGCTTCCGTCGGTAGCAAATCGCGACTCGACTACACTTCGTCTTCCTGTTTTTCGTTTTGCCCGTGTGGGGCCGGTCACCTTTAGGGGCACTCGAAAATTCCCAACTGCTCGTATCGTAACTGTTTTTCACAGTTCTGTTTTGCCTGACGTTATTTTCTCGCTGGTGGAGCTTGGCAGAGGTAAAGGTTTTCTCTGTTCTTGCGATCAAATAAATACAAACTTTATCAATCGCAGATCGTGTCGAACGCCGCTACATAACGTTAGGTTGAGCTGGCTGGCTAATGGTCAGTGTGACACAGTTTGACTATTTACTGTATTAGATATATTATTACAATATATCAATCGATGATGATCATGGAAGAATGCTAGCTAATATTGCCTATTTGCCTTTGCACTGACATGTTTAGTTCCGAAAAGAGGGTCTGTTGCAGTGAGTGTACTGATAAACAAAATACCGCACGAGAGAATTAACTAATCAATACATGTGACGAGCAGACCACTAGTTTGATAAGCCAAACCATAGGCGAAGTACAAGGGGACTACAACTTCTGAACGAAGTCAACTGCTTTCTCTTTCCCCCTACAATTTGATCTTGCGCTTTTCCACACTTCTTTGAGCCTTTTCAGTCTCTTAGAACTGCTATCGCACATACACGCATACACAACGAAGGAAATACTCTACGCGTGTTCTTCGATATTCGAAAAGCAACAATGATGTCATAACTTTCATTTCCCGTTCTGTCGTAGCTCGATAACTGAAACAGGTTATTACACACATACAGTTTGCAACAGTGAGACAAATGAGTAAACTAGTTGTCGCACATAAATTGTGGATAGGTTTTCGTCGCCGTACAACACAACTGCCGCACAACAAGCTGAACTAACGCACCTGATCCTTATACTGGCACGCTGCCGCACTATGGGTGAACACGGAGATGAGAGAAGATTTAGTGTAGCCTCCTATCGTAGCGCCACTGTGTATAGAGAAGATCTGGATAGGCTCACAACACCCGACGCCTCCGCCACGGTCGTAGCAACGATCCCGGTGGTGAGCAGCGCACAACTGAAGCCAACGATAGTTGACCCGCCATGCGCCGCGCAACTGAAGCTCCGCCTCCGAGTGGGCGCGGCGGCGATAGCGGGAACATTTGAATCGACCATGTGACTCTTCGAAGGCTCTGCCATTCTCAATGCGCCACTAAGCAGCCAATTAGTCTATCTATCCCTGAACGAAAAGGCTAGGAGAATCAAATGAGCAAGTTCAGTCAACACAAACGGACAATGGACAACGGCCCGAGTGTGAAAAATGAGACCTAATCTAAATTTGCGCGCCCTGGAGTTCCCATGTGCTCTGCACTTTACCACTTCTGTAGATGAACAAACCCGTTATAATGCATTCGACGTACATAGTAATAAGATGAGATGCGTATAGTTATTGCGTGCAGTACAAAGCGTCGGCCCTTGTTGTTTACGCGGAGAGTTCACGCGAAGCGATTGCTTTTCATACAATGGTAACACTTTTCACTACATATATATATCCTATGTTTGTCGCACGCTATTTCACCTGTATAGTGACTCCTGTATGGCCAGACAATCTTTTTTGTATACGATGATATCGCGCAATCTGCGTGCCAACATCCCGTTTCTTTGACCTTTCGGACATGGGCGTATGCCTATAGTACAATATTTGCTTGATTTAAGTTAAAGTTTCTTAATAACTTTAATTTTGACATTAAGTGGTCTGCTGATTATTATTTCCACTCAAACATAGTACTTGTGCGATTCCTGAGCCTCTCACTGATCAAACCAACTCGACGCCTATCTAAAAGCATTTCTGTATCTTTCGATTTTACGTCCGACATCGGCGTTAGGCCTCAGACGACTGGTTCCCAGCGCAGAATGCACTGCGCATATGCCTGAGTTCGGACCCAGGCTACCACGTGCAAGACTAGCAAGCAAGCATGCATGCTACCCAGTAAGCTATATGGGGAACATGGCGCCGACTGGGAATCGATCGCTTTGATGCCTCCAAGATGTAGTTTGATGCTAAATGTTTTTTTTTTGTTTTTTTTTTTTTTTATTGTAGTACAAGGCAATATCCTGATGCGCAGCAAAAAAGTGTAAAGAAAAAATCTCTCTATATTATCATCATGGCCGATGACGGTTCAATTTAAAACTTTAAAACAGACGAATACAAACAGCAAACAAGTGTAGTACATAAGTGACTTTGGCTAATTTGCCACCCCGTGGACCAATTTGTATATCTACTATGATAAAAATAACTCGTTGTTCTAAGAACTAACGTTTAGTATTACGAACGTCTAAATACAAATACATTTTATCATCAGGGGAGAAAAGTACTTAGTCCCAAGTCAGAGCTGTGTTTATGGTGCAACCGCATCGCATCCATTGCGATATCCGGCGGTAAGTTCGTAAGTCGCTATATAGTGCAACGCGTTTATCAATTGTACCTTTTGCCAACTAAACGGTGTTTTGCCTACGAGCTTCTACAGTGTGAACACAGGGACTGTCTGCCCTAAAATGGCTGCCCACTGAGCTCGAGTGAGCGAGCAAGATTTCGTGAGCAGCAGTTACGGGACGCCAAACATTTGTGTAGTTTTTTTTTGAATAAAGTGCCACATTTGGAAATCGTCGATCTGTTCTTTTCTCTGTGGTTTTAATAACTACGGAATTACAGCTGTGATAGCCGTAACTATGTCACTTATAGGTTGTGGCGTGGCTAGAATAATAGTACTTATGACCGATCAATGTAATAGCGTAGTTCTCGAAAACGGTACAAAAAAAATAGAAAAATAAAAACGAGTATGAATACTCAAATTGGACACAAATAATTTTCGAATTTGGTGTTCACATTAAGGGTTACAGAACGAAATTATTATAATACATAATACTTTTATTACTTATGATATGATATGAATAATTATTACATATGATAGCATTGTTAAGTAAGATTTCCGTAGTGTAGGGGATAGTTTTACTTTGTGGAAAACAATTACACTTTGTCGTGTTTAGATTCCTAGGGCTACAGCTTACAATAATAAATGTTTTTTTTATAACTTGAGACTATGGTAACCCTACATTGTCAATAGCGAAATGCGGCGTCAACGATAAGGAGGACACCGAAGGAGCGCTTCGTTAGCAGGCACTGCTATGGGGATCCTCCACTGTATATGGTATGCACTTTGTTTTCCGCAAGTTTTTCCCTCTGCACATGGGTCTTTTTCCTAGATGCACCTTTTTTCCCTGTTTCTCATAGGAGCGAAGGCGATCGGCTATCGCTCACTTAGGGGGCTGCTCCCTCTCAAGAAAACTCCGATAAGGGTTGCAAAGGGGTGTCAATGGGTAATGGCTTCCCGTTGTCGGCAACCAACCGACCGACCACCCAAGTCAACGAGCGACCGACCGACCGGCCGACCGACCGCTGGCCAAGAAGTCTTCTCCTGGGAGACTTAAAGGTCAAACGTAAGAGGAAAACGAAGTAAAATCGAGTAGATCGGGCAAATGTGGATGGGAAGAAACTATGAGAGCAGGAGTCGGAAAAGCCGACTAGCCGCGGGCCGAGCACCGCACTGAGGCAAGGGTAGTCCAATGCAACTCAAGTGGGCAGGAGCCACAGAGTCTGTCGGTGACGATGATGCCACCGACAACTGATCGAACAACGGAAGGCGAGTTAAACGAAAGCTGCCAACTGGAAAGCGGGGTAACGTCAGGATTGTGCTACCAAGTCAGGAAAGGGAATATGGGACAGACTACTGGACGGAGGGAACAAGGCCAATAATCGCAAGGAGAACTCCGCGGCTCTTAGGGTCCTCGGGGAGTTATGAAGGGTTCTACAGAGAGGTTGGGAACAGCAACGACTTGGAAAAGGCATGAGACGGTAGCGATCGTCGGCTCTGGGCCGACCGAGTCTACATTTTCGTATGAGAGTCACTAGAGTTGAAAGAAACTGACGGCTAAGGGAGAAGTGAGCACCAAACGTGGAGCTACGTTGAAGGGAAAGGGCGCAGCCGCCGCCGCCGCCGCCGCCGCCGCCGTGTAACTGGATGAACAGCAGAAAACAAGGCCAAAAAAAGTGCGAAGAACAGAGGAAAACAATGATCAAGTGACTAGGAGGTCAAAAAAGGACGAAGAAGAACGATTTGTTGGTGACGATGATCGATCTGGCCCCAACGGCCCTCTGCCTAGATGTTAGGACGCCGATGGCTATAAGTGAGTAGCAAACTCGCAGCAGTGAAGAAGTAGCGGGTCCCTGACGTCCGC